GGGCTATTGGAGCCTCTGTGGAGGCCCTGGGAAGGCCTGTGTTCTCCAAGCCTGAGGCCTGAGACTCCTGGAGCCATGGTATGGATTCCAGTCTGCGGCCCGGTAAGATGAGACAGGATGCCCGGCCCGGCAGTCAGGGGGAAAGCGCCCTCCGTCCTCTCCCTGCCTTTGGTCCACTGGGGCTCCCAGTGGTGGGACGGAATCTGCCAGCCTGAGTCCCCCGACTCCAAGCAATCGGCTCTGGGAATGCCTCTCAGGCACCAACTGTCACCCCATGACCCAGTCAAGCTGTCAGAGTGAGCCACCACCCCTGTCTTGGGGTCCTGGCTGATGAGAAAGAAATTCAGGGGAAGAGTGGCCATGGACCCGGAGACCAGGGTGGCGGGGGCCCTCCAGCCTGAGACCCAGGACGTGGGGGAGGGTGTGAGCCAGGCTGGCCCCACTTGGAAGCTTGGAGATGTGTGTGCCAGGCCTCCGAGCCCCCTTCCCATCTGGCCCTCCCCACCCAGCAGCCCTAAAGATGGTTCTAAAGTTCGTGTGATATTTAATCACTTTCCTGCCCAGAATTCTTCATGGCTCCCCCCACACTGGGACAAAACCTGCGACCCAGCCCTGCCTTTGCCAACCTCTTTTCTGCAGTGCCTGCTCCCCCTCCTGCTTGCGCAGGTGGGCACCCAGGGACCTGGAACCTGCTGTCCTGACAGAGGCCACCTCCATCTTTCAGTTCTCCCCCAAGGTGGCCACCCACACACTTGCCCTCACAAAGCTAGCTCTGCTGATCACCTCCTCCAACTGCCCACCTGGGTGCCCACCCTCCTCTGCACCACTCTGGCAGCTGCAGCTTCTTCATACAACCACCCCACCCCAGTCACAGGCTCTTCTCTCAGAGAAGAGCCCACCTATGTCCAGGATCCTGCAGCAAGGGTGCCAGGGGGCCCCTCCCAGGGACAGCGCCAGGTGCCCGGGGGTGACAAGGAGCGGCAGGGCCCAGGGCTCAACCAGCACCTGCAGCCTGGCCCAGCACGGAGATCGTGCCCCTACCTGTTTCCGAGACCTGCTCTGCGCCCACTCTGCAGTAGAAAGCTCATAGCCAACAGGAAAAATAGTCCCTCTCCCGCTAAGGGTGGCGTCCCCAGCATGGGCCCTGCAGCAAGGGGAGGGTTTCAGGCCCTGTGTACGGTCTTTCTTCAGAGAAGGAACAGGCTGCAGACCCCGCCGCACAGCGGGACTGGAGCCGGGCTGCCTGCACCTCGCATCCTGTGTTTGAATCACCACCGCACCAAGCAGGGCTCACGGGCAACAGAGTGCCTGCTCTTGTGGTAAGCGAAATGAGTTCAGCTTACTGCTGTGGAAGACCAGGACGACAGCACCACGTTTCCGTCCACCTCCCGCCTGAAAATGTGCCTGTCCTGCAGGAGAAGCGCGTCAAGCAACGCGCGGTGGGGCACCAAGTCTGCGCACGCGGGCTAGTGCTTCCCTCTGGTGGCCGTCCTCGGAATCGTAGCGCAGGTGCAAGTTCTTGGCCCAAATGCAGTAAATACCTTGTAGGTGGCCTCCATCAGGCGCAGGATAAAACTGTTGGCCACGAGTTTCTAATTAAGAGAATCAAGGAGCCGACATAGGCATGTGGAAAAAAGTGCCCCCTCTTAAGGGTTAGGAGGATGGTTGGTCAATATTTGCATAACCTTTGAAGTTCTTAGATTTGTGTCATCAAAACTGATCTAAGACCAAGAAGCATCACCTCCTCTTGGAGGATTGTCTTAATTGTCCCATGTGGTGTGGACTGTGACCTTGATCTCAGTGCTGTGATTTTGCCTGCGGCAAAGGAAATCGAGGTGCCCTACACACACATTTTTTTTTAATAGCTATTTTTTTCTGGGACATTAAAGCAGTTGAAGATATTGCAAAGGGGAAGAGAAAGTGTAGGAAAATTTATATCTGAAGTTTGAACATTTTAATTATGCCAGATTTTTACAGGGTCCATTATCATTTTACTTCACTCAGATTAAATGAAAACCACTCAAAACCTTTGCTGGGTTGGGGGAGGATGCCAAGCCTGGGTGTTCTCTCCCGTGATGGGGAGCTGGCAGAGCAGTGGGCTTTGGACGAGCTTCCTCTCCTGTGGCTCCGCACTGCTCTTGGGGGCAGTAGCCTCTTTCTCCAACTTGGCATTCTGTGTATCGTGAATTTCTTTGCACCCAGGCTGAATTTTGTCCCTGTGGTGAGGGGCTTCCTCACTTCAACCCCAAGTCCCTGAACTCAGAAATCTTCGCCTATAAGGTTGTGCTGCGTGCAATGATTGTTATAGAAAACTCTACCTGGTCACTCAAGGTGACCACCAGCCTGTGCCTCTAACCTGTGGGCAGCGACCTCCCTGAACTAACCTCCGCCATGCAGGAGCCATGTGGGCACGGCGGGAGCCAGGGACCCATGTGAGGCACTCCTCCCTGGAAAGACAATAATGAGAGACTCTAACAAAGGGCTTTGAAGGACCATAAGCCACCTGGGTTTGTCCTCGATGGCAGGTGTGAGTCTACTACAACAGAGCCACAAATCGGGTCTCCTGAGGATGGCAGACAGATGCTGGACGATTCTGCTGTCATCTTAGATTAAACCTTTACAGAGCCTGGCTCTCAGAGAATCTGAAACCCACATGCCTTTCTTTGGGCTCTGCACCTCCAGGCTCCATACTTGGTTAGCAGATTAACTGACAGATCGTAGCACACAGGCTTCCTACTACGTCATAGAGCACAACACCCTCAGTCTGCAGAAATGTTTCCCTGGCAATCCATTTTTAAAAGACCTTGAGGCAAAGGAAATCAAGGTGCCCTACACACACATTTTTTTTTAATAGCTATTAAACTGAAGGGACTCAGTTTTGTTTTCCGCAATGTTTCTGATGGACCCAGATCCGCTGGCAATGGCTGGCTTTGGGCCGACAGGCTGTCGGGCCGCGGTGGCCTAGGAGCACCTGAGTGGCCTTGGCAGCCCATGCCGCTCCCAGGAGGCCTGGGGCCACACGGCACTGGAGGGCTCTGTCCTGAACCGAAGTACATTGGTGCACTTCCTAACCCTAGTGGATCGAGGACGCCTGATGATTTTTAGGGTGTTTTTGTTCTGACCTGATACTCCAGCCACTTTGGAGCTTCGGAATTGCATACATTGTCTCCAAGTAGCTGTCTTTCCAGGGGCCTCTCCATACCAGACCTGCCGCTCCGTGTCCTTGATAAAATGGCTAGAGGGAACAGGGCAGGTGCATTGTGACGTCTCTGCAGCAGAGTGTGTGTCTTCAGTGAGCGTCCCTGGCTCATCTCAAACACCGTCTCTCTCCTGCTAAAACCAGATTCATAGGGCCGAGGTGTTCTCTGATAAGAAACTCCTCTCCAGAAGGAGGTCAGATGGGCCTCAGTTTTCAATCTTGCTGTCAAAGCACGTGGCTGTCATCTTCCGTTTCAGGGCTCACAACCAGGTATCTACTTCTCCCCCATGAGCCAAGGACAGTTCAGCTGCAAGAGAGAGAAAGCACATACACCCGCTCGAGTAAACAGGAAGATTGAGGAACATGTAAGTGAAAGTCCAGTGGGTACTGGCCTCAGGTATGGCTGGATCAAGGTGCTCAGATAGTCACCAGGACCCAGGTGCCCTTAAGATTTTGTTTACTGGCTTTGTTCCTAGGCAGCACCACCCTATCTGGAAGCGAGACCCACCTCCCTGTCCCCACCTGGTGTCTCCAAGCATGATCATATCTGCTCGAACTCCAGTGAGAAAGTGGCTTTAAATCTCAGAGGATAGGCTCTCTATGGCCTGGCTGCCCAGCTGGCATCGACAGTCCACTCCTGGACCAGTCACCACCCCACCGTGGCGAGGTCTGAGGGGGGGCAGGCCTGGGGCCCTTGTCACTGCTGTGGTTGAGGTGGAGTCAAGTTGCTGATCCAGAGGGACAGCACCCAGTCCACACCTGCCCTCAGAGGGGGCACATCGGCCCTCCTGTGTCCTCTGCTGCTGGCCCTTCCCGAAGTGACCCAGACGTGTGCTCAGCCTCCTGGGCCTCAGGCCAGCACCGCCAACGCCTGGCCTGGCCTTGAGCCTCCACAGCGCCCTGCTCCCTCTGGCCGTCCACTCTGAGGCCCTTCCGTCCCCTGTTGGCTCATCTGTTAATTGTCTCAGGTGACATGCCTCCCCAACGTCTCCATTACGAAGTTGCCGTTCTAAAGGGGAGATGCTCACGAGGAGCCGCCATCTGGATAGCAGTCCTTGCCTCGTCTGTCCCTCTCCACTGCACTTGGACAGCACACCCAGGAGGACCTCCTCCCCAATGTCCCGAGGGCCATCGTCTTCATGGGAGGTCACGCTCTGTGTCGGGAGGCAGCTGCACCCTGCCCTGGGCCACCTCTGGCAGGGTCTCTCCCTCGCCCTGGCCCTACCCGGAGCCTCCCAGCACGTGACGGGCGTCCTGGCTGGATGAGCCGGGCCTCCTGCCGCACCAGCAGGCCTGTGAGGACGATCCTCAGCTGGACAAGCCACCAGCCACCGCCACCTCCCAGGACTCTCGGATGGCTCTCTCTTTTATTGGAGAGACCAGCAGCCTTCCTGGTGCTTCAGAGACGTGGATGAGCCATCGTGCATTTGGAGACTTGGAGGTGACTTCTGAAAGATCCAGCAGAGGCCCAGGAGCTGAAGACCCTATCCCCAGGGTGGCGCTGTTGGGGGCTGGTGGAGCCTGGAAGAGGCGGGGTCTGGAGGGAGTCTTTAGGTCCCTGGGGTTGCCCTTAAGTGGGACTGTGGGGCCCCCTTTCCCTCCCCTTTCTCTCTTCCTGGTGCTGAGGGGAGGCCATGCTCCCCACCCTTAGTGCTGCCTCGCAGAGGTTCAAAGCCACAGGGTCAAGTGATCAGGGATGAATGCTCCAGGGTTTTGAAGTAAAATAACCTTTTTTTAAAATAAGTTGACTGATTCAGATATTTTGTGACGGTAGCAAGCTGACACACCTCTCCAAGTCAAGAGGACAATACATAGAAGTCAGGATTCCTCTGTTCTCTCCTGAAAGGTGGAGGCCAGCTCTCAGCAGGGCTCATCAGGACCCAGCTGGTCAGTGGTCACTCTGGTGGCCTGCTCTTTCCAATGTGCCCACCCCTGTTCCATCTCCTGCACATGCTCATTCCTTGCCATTTCTCTCCTGCCCGAGTCCGTGGCACCTAAAACCTCACTCCTGTCTGTCCCCTCGTCCTGCCAGCTCCGGGCCTGGCTCGGGGAGCTCCTCAACCACCTCTTGTTGGACAGGACCATAGCCAATTTCCATCCAACATGCGCAGAGAGCAGAGTTGGCAACTAGAATAGCACTTAGCACAGTATGAGCTTCCTGCAAGCCCAGGAGAGCAGAGAACAAGAGGAACCAAAGCAAACACAGCCCCGGTGTGGAGCAGAGTGAGGCCCAAGGAGCCCCGGGTGCTGGGACACTGTGAGGCACAGGGCTGTGGGGTGGATGGGCCCACTCCTGCAGGGAGGCATCAGGGCTGCCTGTGTACAGGCGGGTGGCCTGGATCCAGCCCTGTCCTGCAGGAGAGAACCTGGTTGGAATGAGGCAGGAAGAGCGCTTGTGAGATGGACCTGCAGAGCGGAGCTGGCCTCTGCTGACATCTCGCCATGCCTGCCCGGCCAGGCTGGGAGGCAGAGCCAGGTAATGACCCAGGGCCTGGCTGGGCCTTTCATCTCAGCATTTCGGGGCACTTAGCAATATCAGCACTGTAATGAGTGTCCCAGACGCGTGGGCCTTCAGGGCCGGGAGGTACCTCAGATCCCCATCTGGGAACTGGCTCCATGAGGCCCAGGGTAATGACAGCTGCTGGGAAGGTGTCATTAGATGGCACCGCAGGCCCGGCCATGAGTGGGGCCAGGCGGGCAGCAAGGCCCTCCCTTTCCTGGGACTCTGTGGAGCCCTGGGAGGGGCTCGGGAGCCTGGGGCCACGGTGGAGTGGGGGCTGTGGAGGACTCGGGTCACAGGCTGCTGTCTGTGGACCGCCCATCCGTGGCCGAGGCAGCTCACTCCCGCCACAGAGCATGGGCCTTCGGGCCACGTGGGCCTGTCAGAAGCAGGCAGCAGGCTCCCCAGCAAGTGCCAGCGCCAGGGGGAGGGACCCAGGCGTCCAGACACCAGAGGTCCCGCACAGCCAGTGCTGGGTACTGGAAGGGCACAGTGACCCCTGACGCCCACCTTGTGGCCCAGAACAGAAAAGGAGCTAATGCCAGGGGGAGGAAGCCCTGCAGGCCGTGCCACACCCTCCCTGTCCTGTCTAATGAGGGAAGGAGGACTAGGGGACTTGGCCGAGGTGGGGGTCCCTGGCACAGATTGTGTTGGGGCCAAAGTCTAATTCCAGAGGAAGCTACCTGTGAGGAAAGGTTGGCCAGGCAGGTGGCACAGCATGTTCAAAGGTCCCGTGGTTGAAAGGAGTTTGGAAAACTCAAGGAACCAAAGGAGAGAGGGGTGAGATTGGGGGCTGTGGCCTGGGGAACAGGAAAAGGGCATGGCTGGCCTTTAAGCCAGGTGGCCACCAGCTGTGGACAGTTGGGTCCTCCCCAGAGAGGAGGGTCAGCTCCCCCAGGAAAATGGACAGCAGCTGCAGTGAGCCACCTCCCTCCCTGGGGTTGAGTCCATCCACCCACAGAAGGGCTTCTGAACTTGCCTCCTGGGTGCCCACCACTCTGGGGGAACTGACAGCCCCCGTACCTGCAGCCTTTGAGCCAAAGGGATCGTCAAATTGGCCCCCAGTGTCGACTCATTAAGAGCCCAAGGAGGAAGGGCAGCGTCTTCCTGGGAGGAGCCCTGGGCAGCAGAGGGAGATGAGGCAGTGGGGGCAGGGCTGTGTGCTGGCCGTCCCGAGGTCCCCAGCTTCCCCAGGATGGGTCCCCGGCAGCCCATAAAGCACAAGCCTCCTCCCTGCCGGAAGAGGTGCCCTGGGCCCATCTGCAGGAGCAACCCACAGCGGCCTGCCCAAGGGTCACCTTGCTGCTGAACCTGAGGGGACCCCACCGCTGTCATCCCAGGCGACACCCACCCATCGCCCCTAAGGCTGGCTGAGGACGCGGGAGCTGAGCAAAGCACAGGACGGCTCCCAGAGCTGACAGGACGGTTGGTACCTTGGGTCATTCTCCGAGCCGCGCAGCCCTTGTGCCAGCACATGGGTCACATTCGTGTAGACAGGTCTTGTGCGTGTGTGTGGATCTGTCTGTTTCACATGCAGGCCCCAGAGAGCCAGTTATCAAACATTTTCCAGCAACACTGTGAGACGAGACCCCAGGCTCTGGGATCCCCATTCTCGGCCATCCTCCTGGGCGAGCAGCATCGGGCAATGGAGGAAATTCAGGCGGAGAGAGAAGTGTCCCGAGTGAGCCTGACAGAGCGGGGCAGGATGCCTGGGCTCAGGCTTGCGGGCACCGCCTCCTGACTACCCCGCCCAGCCGCAGCTCAGCAGGGCTCAGCTTGTCCACCTGTGGACGAGGGCCACGGGAGGGTCTGGGAGCCTGGCCCTGCACCAAGCACTCCCCACAGAGGCACCCTCAGACCTGTGCCCAGCTGCTGTAAGAGTCCCCAACCCGTCCACGCAGCTGATGCTGGTAGACGCTCTTGCCCTGGAGACAGGCCTGCGCACTCGCTTGGGCACTAAGTCCCCAAAACCATAAACGCACAGGTAGGTGTGGGTCAGGGCCTTTCCAAGAAGCTGTGCCAGTCCCCCGGGAAAGCGCCTGGCACAGACCCATGATTCTCCCAGCTGACCCCAAGGAGAGACTTTCCCAGGGCTCACTGGCAGTGTCTTCATGCAGCCACCAGGGGGCGGCATTTGCACTAAGTACACAGAAGCCTGGGAA